AATAATAATAATAATATCATGAGCTTTAGGTTCTGTTGTTTCCCAAAACATAAAAGTTGGAAAAAGAAAATCATGCAGCTCACCTCTCTTTCTGCAGTTGAGTCCATAGGCGCCACAGCTTGAGGATAAAAATAATTCTTCGGATAATCATCCAGAGCAAATTTTAAGGCATACATTTTCCCAACTCCTCCTATCCTTTTAACCACCCAGCAGCAGCTCCCAACTCTGCCCATACGTGGCACCTGCAGGCGAAAATGGCCATCATAAACCCCAACTTTCTCTCCAGCTTGTGCCGAACATGCAATGCTCGCCATGGTTACGACTGCCGTTGCTTTTCCTATGCATTCGAGCAGTGCAGAGAAGCATTTTCTTGCAATAGCAAATATATTGTTTTGTCTGTTGAAATCATTTCCCCGAACTCGTGTTAATAACTAAGTGAAAAGAGTACTTCAAGAGTTTGAGCTTTAGAAAGGAAGCATATGGGGGATAGATAGTGAACATATATGCATAGAGACATGAGGTCAGAGCCTTTTTGAGCTGTATACCGTGAAAAATTGAAAAAAAAATTTCTGGTCATTATTTCTTCAGTGTTTGTTATCTTTTTTTTTTCTTTTTTTTTCTCCATTTCTTTACTGTTTAATGCCAAAAAATTTTTCCATATTTTATGCACATTGTCATCCCTCTACCACAAAAATAATTGTTAAAATCTCAAAATTTTAGAAAATATTTAGATCAATTTCAGAAATTAACGTACATAATTTTTTTTTTTTTTTTGGTATAGCCAATTTATTAAAATTGAGGATAAGGGTACACGAACCCTTTACAATAGTGTCGAATTCACCTTAAGAGCCAACAATCTTGAGATAATTACACTCAGAGACACATCAATGAAACGCACTGGCCCCTATTCCTCTTCATGCGGATCCTTTTGAGCTATCAACTGAATTTTGTAACCAATAGGACTTACAAAAACTAAAATCAGACATCCTTAATTTTATCCATTGGAAAGACCAAGCTTTAATCAAATCAAACATACGGGTTAGCTGCTGCAGCACCTCCCTAGAACACCACCTAGCAGTGGTTTAAGGGATGTGCAGGTGATTTAAGAAGTGGAAGAGTGGTTTCCCAACATCAGTGTCTTAAAAAAATAAAAATATAAAATAAAAAATAAAAATAAAACAAATAGATGCATATAATATATATTATATATGATTCTACAAATAAAAAGAGCTACTCACAAAATAACATGTTATGCGCTTACTAAATGGGTAGAGGGGACTTTTCCTCACACTTGCACCTACATATGGATA